TAATCTCGCGACTTTGGGAGGCTGAGGTGAGTGGATTGCCTGAGCCCGCGGGTTCGAGACCCGCCTGGGCAGCGAGATCTCATCTCTACAATAAATCAAAAAATCAGCCGGGTGTGGTAGTGCGTGCCTGTAATTCCGGCTACAAGGAAGGCTGAGGCAGAAGGATCGCCGGAGCCCAGCAAGTCGAGGCTGCGGTGGCCGGGAGCGGCCACTGCACTCCGGTCTGGGCGACAGAGTGAGACTCCAACTCAAAAAAAAAAAAAAAAAACCGTGTAGGTGCTAACTCCTACACTATTTTTCCCACAATTAACTCTACAACATTTTTTTTTCCTTCAAAAGTACATCACTGATGTCAAAATAGCTATATCTTGAGTGGAGGGTTGTTGACAAGCCCTAGATGCAGATCCATTCACCTCTCTTTACCATCAGCCCTTCAAAAAAGTCCAACTTTCACATTACTTAAAAGTTTCTGTAAAAATATGCATTAAGTTTAGAAATGTATACATTAATCTGTAGCAACAGACTTCATCATCTAAGATAAATACATAGATGAGCACACATACCAAAAGATTTTGTGCCATGAACACAATGACTGGATTAGACTGAGTTAATGGGTCATCTTTTAGCAGTGGGGGCATTTTCTTTTATTCATTCAAAAGTCAAAATCACCAAACTACCTAAGATAGCATTTGTTCATTATAAGAGAACAGACTGGGAAGAACAAAATGATTAAGTGGGCACAAGTTTGGTAGGCTAATTTCCAGTCGAATTTTAAATATAAATATATATGTATATATTTGTATGTTACTGTTTATGATCATTCATTCCTTTCTTCCTAGTAGATATTTATTTCCTCCACTAGTACAAACTAACATTTGTTGAGTACCCAAATGGCATCACTGCACACAAATAGATGTTCTTAAAATGGCCACTAAACAGCAATGTGCAGTCATGCAGTTCAACGAACAAGCATTGTTCACAGTAAATTTCAAACTCAGTCTCTGAGTAAACAGGAATCTTATCATATTACTCCCTCAGAAACTAATAGAACTGTCAACTTTTGCAAAGACAAACAGCTACTTGTGACAAAGATTTACTCCCAGGTTAAAAAGTATCCGTTGA